ATATTCTTCATTGTTTAAATGATATTTTCTTTTTTTTTTCACAGTAATCATTGACAAATTCTATGTAATTAAGTAGTATTTAAGCAAATATATAAGCCTTTTAGTTATATTACTTAACCATTGAAAATCCATAATTTGTTAAATTTGTCCTTTCCTTCTTTAGAATCATTTACATAAAAGCAATTAGTGAAACTGTAAATTTACACATTCAAGCCTATTTTTATAAGTGTACAAGTATATAATAAGGTTGAAATTTTGACCTCTTTAAGTGTGTCTATAATATGAAATACCACTATTAAATGGTTAGTAATCATATATAAATAGTAATCGTTCATAGAAATTATTTAAATATTCTTTGACATATTTTAGTGACTCTTATATCAGACTCCAGTTAGATCATATGAATGATTGTTATTGATAATATACATATCGTTATTCCTCATATATAGTTATTCGACTTAATCCGCGTTAGTGAATAATGGAATTAAATAAGTCAAATACAAGAATGGACTTTTGAATACTTATATTTTGTACACCCACTAATCTGAACAGGAAATCAGAAGGATGAAGTATGTAGAAGAGAGAGAAGCAAAATGACGCGCGGTAGAGAACGTGTGTGAGCCAACTCCATTTAATCAAGCGTTAACCAATATTTATAGCCAGATAAAAATAACTTACAGACATGTGATGAACAGGATAAGAAGTGTACACATATATACGCTCATATAAGAACAGTTAAGGTTGATAAGTGAATGCATAGCAAGGTCAAAACGTGACTCAAGAAAAATGGATAATCAGAAGGGGTTTTGCGGAGATTTTTAGAAATTTCAATAGTTGAAATCATGAGTCAATTGAAGTTAGACCATCATGGAAAACCTGGAAGAACTGGACGGCCGTCTCGTCCTAGTATGGGACTCCTCAGCAGTGCGCATCAACGATCCCACCTCGTGAGATTCCAACACAGGACTTATCAGTCTCGTGTGCGAACGCTTCACCTTGAGACCACTGAGCCGGCATCTAACGGTGTTAATGTTTAACTTCAACTGATCTACGAAGTTGCGCCACCATCCACCATTGTCTTCAGTGAGTTACTATCTCACAACAGACTCGGTTGAAAGGGCCGTGCAGCGCATACAGGTTTTCCATGGTGGTCTAGCTTCAATTGACTCATGATTTCAACTATTAAAGAATGGATAAATTAGCATGTCAAGAAGCTACAATAAGTTATATGGGCTTAACATAGCAATCGACACTACAATATTATAATTATTTGAATTTACTTGATAGTATTCACCTTTTAGGTAGTTGTGATTACTGATAAACACGTCATAGTTTAAGTAGGCCAGTAATAAAAGTCTACAAACTTTCACATTAAAAAAAACATATCGACTTTCACAATTTTGACTGAAAAGCACGGGAAATAATTAAATTAAATCGTATCCACAGTTATACACGATGATTATTAATAGAAATTTAACCAAAATTAATTGTTTTCTATTAAATCAATTAGTTCCTTTGATAAGAAGATGAAGATTATCACAACTATGTGATATATTTTAAGCAAAGATGGATTGTGGCTAGCAGTGGAATTCAAGACGTGCGTTTTGTCCTATTTGGAACTCGTCAGCTGGATATACCTGCATCTCAGAGTTGGTGTTCACTCCAACATATTAACGCAATACATTTTGAGCAGTCTGATCACACACAATATACTTGTTAAAACCGTTAACGCATAAAAATAAAAGATCAACTAGACTAGAAATGAAAGGTGAAAGAAGACAAGGAGAACAAATAAAATAATTTGAAAACAATTTAAAACCTCATCACTCTAGATAATAAGCTAATATTACAAATGTGGGTTTAAGGTAGAGAACAAACTGTTTTTGAATACACAAAGGGGGGGTTGAATTTTTGCATGGTTATGGCTTTCATAAATCTTATTCAATGTATTGTTTATCTGAAAAGTTTTTTACGATTATAAACTACATATGAATTGTACACTTAATTATTTACCATGGTGGTGGAGAAGATTTGTAGCTCATGTGGATGCTTTTGGTGGAGTTTTGTTCTCTGAGATGGATGGTTAGGTCGTGGAGCTTTCATCGTTCTTCTGAACGACATAATCAGCACAAACTTCAGATAGAAGTGAAGTGTTTGAACTTCTTCATTGACCTTAAGGTCAATCAGCATCGAGGTGCACACAACAAGCTTTGAGACACATATGGAGAAATCCAAACACTTCACTTCTATCTGAAGTTTGTGCTGATTATGTCGTTCAGAAGAACGACCAAACCATCTAGATCAGAGAACAAAACTCCACCAATATTTACCATGGTATCTGAATTGATTATAAGAATTTTCAATTTTCTGAAAATTTAAACATTTAAAAATAAACAATCAAAATTCAGGGGTGGTGATGGTGGTGGTGTGGAAACAAAGATAATGAGGTAATATAAATGGCCTTGATAAACGAACTAAGTAGTTGTTAGCGATCTATAAAATAACTCAAGTGAAATAATAAGTTTATCCCAATTCAATAATCATTTAGATAAGCCTAATAATAATAATAATAATAATAATAATAACAATAATAATAATAATAATAATATGGTTTGTTAAGGAGATATGATTGGATAATAAATATTTTATGGTGGGAAACTGAATTGCATAAATTAATATCTCGGCACAGTATGCTTGTTAGTTTACGGGTTTTCGCGCACGTGTAACGTATTGTCGTGGATTTTATGTGTCGTTATTTATCAGCTATTAACAGCCTTTTTTCCGTCATACATGACTTTTCGTAATCTTTGTGATTGGAAGATAGTTTTTGTTTCAATTTATAAGCAGTTTGACGTATTTCGTGCTCACCACCTAAGTAAATATGTAGCTGGCGTAATATGGTTTTTTTTTAACAATACTAAGTCAAAGAAGTCAAATCACCATTTTTCTAGTCAAAAATAGATTACAGATTGAGTTTTCATGAAAATAAGCCGTAAAAAGAATTATATATGGTTCACCTCCTTGATTATGGTGACGGCAAACACAGATGTTGGTAGTCGTTTATAAAATGTAATTAGAAAGAAGTAAGCGTTAAAGTAACTATGAATATTATATAAATTGTTTGTATTTATCCATAAAAGGTTATTTGGACTATAGGTAGCATTGTTTTGTACTGAAGTGACATATTACTGTGTAAGGTATCAGAGAGAAATTATGTGAGTAACAATAGACGTTGATAGTCTTTTTTACCGGTTTTCTGAACTTATACAGAAATAGTGTGTAACACCACATTAAATATGCACGAAATCTTCATAAGTAAATCGATGGGTGTCTCTTCTGAGCATGGTGACGAAACCATGTCTTACTTAATACTGACTTATGATGTGTCTGTTAGAGGGTTGACGAATAATTCTCTGTAAAGGAAATGCACAATCGCAGAAGAAAATGTGAACAAAGTTATGATGCATATTGTCGAGTAATATCTAAATGGTGCTTACCAATTTCTCTTGCTAATACCAGATATATAGACGAAATACTACAAGGGTTAGACACTGAAGAAATTTCCATTGCTTGTTAAGACACAAACTTAAATCAAAAAACAACTATTAATGAGTTAATTCATGAATTCCTACTGCATTACAGACTGACTCGTCTAAAGTAATTCATGCAGACAACGTGACGAAAAGTGAATGAGCAATGGAAGCAGAATCACAAGTTCCTTGTATTCATATCGCCTTTATGCCACATTATTGAATTACATTTTATTCATAAATCCGACCACGCTTCTATGTTGTGACGAACCTGATTTCAGTAATTTTTAAATAACACTGATTTGTGTGTTGTAAAGATTACCTATTAATTTTTATTAAAGGAAATAGAAATCTCTAATGATTAGCGCTGTCTGCAAATAAGAGACTTATAAGTACATTCTGTAACCTGCTATTTGATTGACTTATTAAATGTGATATTGATAACTAGGTCTAATTCTTTATTTCACGACTGATTTGTTTGTTTTTCAGAATTGTATGAATCAAATGAAGTCGTAAAAGCTTTGTGATGATGTTTACGCCGGTCTACAACTTATAGAATTTGTGATTATGGAAGACCATATTAAAATCATTTTTATTCAACAAATGAATTAGTGAAATATAAATATAGCAACTACACTTAGTGTCTTACGTTATAAACCGTGTCAGTATTTATTAATAGTCGATATGACGCTAGAACAAATATAGATAGAGAATAATATGAACTCCTTATAATCCATGGAATGAACAAGTAATAAGAAGGATTATGTAATAATTTATTTCACTTTTAAAATTTAGTTACGCATTTTTTCCATCACCCTGTCACTTAATCCTCTGTAATTACGTGACCTCTGCAAATTGTAATCAATTATGACGTAACTCAAGTTTTCAGTTCTTAAATCCACGGATCATTTAGAAGCTATAAGAATTTCACACCACTTATCTGTCTGTGAACTGCAGTCAACTATTATATCACCCATTCTTAATGTGTTATTGACTGTAAAAGCAAATGACCTTTGACCTTACACTGCATATATATATATATATATATATATATATATATATATATATATATAGTCACTATTGATAACCTACGTCATTTCATTTATTCATATTCAGGTATGTCAACTGTTTCCCACATCACTGTTAAATCCTATTGCATATTTAGTTGTAATGAATGCATACCACTGTTAATCAACATTTCTCCTGGTTTTATTTTGATTCATAAGCGGAATTAATCACATGAACTTAAAATGTACATAGGTCCTGATACGATTTTAATGATAAACGTAATCCCACGAAGGTGAATATGATATGTGGGTGCCTAATCTGCAAAACTGTACGCGGATGTAGGGTTTCTTAATCAATCTTAATTATTACAAACAGCTACACATGAACATCATTGCTATTCATTCCCATAAAAGTAGGAATAAGATGAAAATTGAAATTATGAAAGTTTATTGAAGAATCATTGCTGCAAAAGCAGAAAATCAAGTTTACAAGTTGGTATTAAGAATTCTTAAGTAATAATTGTCCACTTTCTTCTCAACTTCCGTTGCAAAACGTTCACCATACTTCTCAATGATGCGATGTTTATGGATTCTTTGGCTTCGTTGAATACTTACATACACTTCACTCCGTCGTGGTAATGCAGGTAATGTATAATTTTGGAAGTTCTGGGTATTGTGTAACTTCCATCTGCTACAATACCTAAGAAGTTGATGAGCTATGCAGTTAGTATTTCATAATTGATATAGCTTACCTGTAAGATTTCTTCTTTTACTTTCGATAACTTCGTCTGCTGACTCACAGTGAAGTATTACGGGCTTCGAGTTCTCTTTTTCTTCTGACGATAATCTCCTTGTCCATGGATCACATACCATCCATGAACTACTACATGGATGATTGTGTATCATCTTGTAGGATTTGATTACATATCCTTGCTCTTCTAGTCTTACACGGAATTTAGATTGACAATTACGGAATTTAGACCTTAAACATAAGATATTAGTTAAAGATCTTACGATTTTTGCCTCACTTTCAAACCTTCCGATTTCCGTTTGTGACCAAACGTACAATTAAACGATACAAACAGGTATTTGAACCTGACATCCTTCAGCAATCTGCTTTCTGTGTGGATGTAACGAGTATAAGTAGTCTGAGAAGCGATAAAATTATAGTTCCATACTTTTTGGAACTCTTTTAAGGCGCTTTCAAAATCATCCCACAACACGAAACGCTTGTTCAGTATCATACTTCGAAAGGCATCGGTTAAGTCGACTGAAATGTCACTTGAGGATGAAGCACTAAAAACAGACATTACTAATTATTAAACAGTTATTCCTTGCAACAATAATAACCCAAGGAAATACTACAAATACTTGAGATTTACCTGTGACTTGACATTTCGTTTAGCTTTACTACAATTGTTGGGATCAAAGATCAAATTACAAAGCAACAACAGAGCCAAAGTGCACACTACAAAACAGAGAACGCTAAATTAATGGTTTTGCTATTTATTTCGTGCTTTTTATGTAGCATAGGATGACTTATATATGAAAAAACTTGATACTCATGCAAACCAACCAACCCACGGCAATTGAAATACGGAATGACCGCCTCTAATCAAGCCGTTCAAGGTCGCTGAAACGAAAGGGCGGACACATTTCAAAAGGACCTAACGTTTAAACCGTGCCAATATCTCACAGATTTTATTATTTTGTATCTAACCCTCCTAGAATTAGTGCAAGTCCCAAATATGAGTAAAGTAAAAACGGTTTTACATGGGATCAATGACCTAATGATGTAGACAATAAACTTGTTAGAAAAATGCTAACCAAAATAAATGATTTAAATTCTATTATCTGAGTTGAAGGATCATTGTTGCGAAGAATTATGATACCTTTGGGTGAAAGTCATGATTCTTTACAAGCTACAAGGTTTATGCTCCTTCTAAAAACCAGAGTAATAATTAATTTAGGTTCATGGAACATATTGACAATATTAGAGACTGACAGAATCAGTCAAAATAACTGTAGAAATGAAGAGAAGTAACTTGACGGTGGTCGGAATAAGTGAAACTCATTGGATCCAAGTTGGACAGAAAAGATTAGATTCGGGAGAAGTGGTGCTGTATTTTGATCGCCAAGAAGAAAATGCCTCTCATAAGTAAGGAGTTGTACTGATGCTGTTCAAAGAAGCATGAAAGGCACTTATATGATGTGAATCTCATGGATCTAGGATCCTCAAAGCATTCTTCAAAACAAAGGAAGAAGGGATTAAAATGAATGTTATCCAGTGCTATGTACCCACCAGTGAAAGCAAAAAAAACAACGATAACGATCAGTTTTATGAGAGGATAAAGTCGATCGTGACCAAGAAAATACCTGAAAATCCTGATGAAAGATCGGAACGTCAAGATTAGAAAGCGTAACACCAAGTATGAAGATATAATGGAAAGACATGGACTGAGACAAAGGGATGAGAATAGCAACATACTTGCGAATTTATTTGTATTCAACAAAATGGTTATAGATGGCATAATATTCCCACACAAACGCATACAAAATGCTATAACCCCCCTCCACACACACACAACCAATTCTAAATCACTTCCTTAGATTATTTTGAATCAATCTTCTAAGGCCTAATTTACATATTCCACTTTATATGTCGCAGCTAACGTTGATACAGAAATGTTTAAGATGATTTATTTGTCACTGTATTAAAAACATTCTTGTTTTCTATTACAGTTCAGTAGCAAATAGATTTGATGAAGTTTTTCATTGATGAGTTCTCATAATAAAATACAAATGAGATACAAGTAAATTATAACTTGTTCTCCTACTATGAAACGCTACATCTTTTTCGTCATAAATCATTATTATTCCTGTAAGTAATAATGTTCGAAAGAATAAGTATTATCACAATTGATTGATCACTGGGTAACGATCAATGTCATGCGTGTTTAGTCCTTATTAGTGCAGATCGAATGCTATCGATCATGTTGTATTAGGACTGAGATGTAATCATAATTGATTGATCACTGGGTGGCGATCATGATAGCATTCGATCTGTACTAATAAGGACTAGACACGCATGACATTGATCACCACCCAATGACCAATCAATTGTGATTACATCTCAGTCCTACAGGAAGTCGGTCACGACTCGGATAGCTCAGTGGTGACGTCTCTGACTGTGAAGTTGGGTGACACGAGATCGAATCCATCAGGGAGCACCGGTTCCCTCAAGATTACAGGTACACCTTGTTGACGAGTGTCAAGTAGCATGAAACCCGGGTCCAGGGTTTCCTGTCGATTACTTCCAACCACCATCTAATAAGTACTATCTTCTGACTACATTAACTGATAAGGCGTTCTTTTCCATTCGTTTTAATGACACTAGCGTGTATAGAATAGTTTCAATTTATAAATTTTCATATTGTTGGTAGGAAATATAACAGTAAATAAATCAGACAAATCAATTCTCTTGTGTATTCAATCTTATTCTTATTACTTTCTTTATTTTGCTTTCAGGGATATTTACTTACCTTCAACAACAACAACAAAAATCGTTAAAAAAAATCACAATCATTTATTCAATCAATGAATCATTTTTAATGATAAGTGTTACTCATATTGTTTCTATAGTAAAAAAAAAAACTTATTTTCTTGTCATTTCATCAATGAATAAATCCCAAATGAACTAAAATAGAATTTTCTTATGAACCCCCCCTCCAAAAAAACCCAGAAAAAATCGGGGTGGAATGATATAAAAAAACAATAACCAACTAGAAAGATGACAAAACAAAAATGATAAACATCTATTAATAGTAGTAAAATAGTGTTATCTAAACACCTTAAGGCTAAAAAACCAAACAAACAAACATTTCCCTCAAGTATTTTGACAAATTAAGTGAGAAAATTCCAGATAATCATTATTTTTTTATAGACAATTATTGAGTATATCATAGTTGATCAATAAATGTCTATAACTATTATTCACATAGGAATACAATATAGAGCACAACAGACGATTCAATGTAATATGAGTCATTATTATGAAGAAATAACTCACTTTGTTTGTGTATTTTACTTTACTTACATGAAATTCTTTTCTATACTTAACAGATATTGTATTAAACAAAAGTAAAATTATCATTTATCATTATGGATGGATAAAGAACATTACTGTAAGTCAATATGAGAATAGATTGTTGATTAGATTTTATACTTCATTGAAACTTATTGATTGTTATATGGAAAACAGGTTAATTATAAGACAAATACTGTAATATGAACAGTTAAACATTCTGAAGGTGAACTTGTAAGCAATTACCTACATATAGGTATTCATGCACATATATACGTATATGTATATATGTATGGACATGTGAAAACAATAGACAACTTCGACTGGAGCCAAACATTTTCGAAATAAAAAGTGATTTAAGTGAAAGTCATAAATTAATTTTTTTGATTATAAACAAAATTTACGGCATAGAAACAGGAGAAACACGTTGTTGTTGTTGTTGTTGTTTTTTCTCTCGTTTATTCAACTTTAAAACAATTTGTGTTTGTAATAGTGGGATTTCGACAAAAGTCACGAACTATATCATATTATCAGAATAAGATTAATGAATATTTCAAACTAACATAAATCCACATATTTTGGGAATTGGGAATTTTCAAAATAGTTTTGAATGAATTCTGATTTATCAAGTAAACATTTATGACCTAGTTATAAGTCGGAATACCGATCTCCTATAAACAAATTCGAAATAGATCCTGGATAAAAAAATAATTAACAATTGAACGTGTTGAGATGGGACGGGGTCGCTAACCCCATCCCCAACCGTCCTCCTTGATCCGGGCTTGGGACCGGCAGTATCTCCCGGAGGGACTCCAGGCGGAGGCACAAATGTTTATTTATCAAAACTGAATATAAATTTTTGGCTTCATAACACGGATTGACCTTAGTTAGATAATAACTAGAAACTAGGAAGTACTGACAGGCTTTTTGTTTTAGTATATGGATTAACAAAAGTGTTTATCCATGACCCCACCAAATACAAGACCCAGAACTCACAAGCTTTGAAGTGAACGCTTAACCCTCAGATAACTCTGTTAATATGTGATAGTATAAAACTATCCTCATCAATTTATTTCTTCAAATCTGACCTGCATTGTCCCCTTGAGCGCTCATTGGAAGTGAGGCAGTCAAATGGGTTGATCACTCCATATATTTTAGCAGTTTGACCGGCCCTGAAAGATATTTATTTGAAGAAATCTCCACACAGATTCAAATAACTCTGATGAACTCTGATGCTCCACTTGAGGTGTGTTCGCCTGCCAAACAAACGGCAAATGCCATACTCACTGGTCAGCTCTGTGAAAAACGGTCTACAAAAGTAGAAAACATGACCAGGATGCATGTTTTTGATTGTAGGTGTCTTCGAAGCACTGTTGATATGTGTTAGGATCACAAAAATGGCATTACCGAAATGAGGAGTAAGGGATAGACGAGAAATTAGTTGAGGGATTTGTGGATCTTCGTCAACTGGGATGGCCTGAAAACGTGTTGTTTCAACACGTATTATGTATGCCAACCAATCGTGTTTCACAACCAGTGATGTTATCTGGTGCATTAGTGGGTTGAAAGGAAGCTACAAACAACCAAATCGGAACGTGACATCAATTCATGAAGTGATGAACTCCTGATCTGAAAGATATTTGTGGGTGCAAACTACTTGGTCACAGTCGGCGCGACAACTGAGAGTGATGTCAGGAGGCCTTGGGTAACACAGTAAATAATCAGAAGAACCCACTCTTTATCTTCCTCTAGATCTTAAGTTTCAGTACTTCTCCACACATACAGTTTCAATACTTTTCAAACCATGTTCTAAACTTCCGATCTTTCTCATTAGCGTTGTCATTATATTAAACCAACTACATTGACATTCATCTTTTTCATTTCATCTCGTTGTATTACTGTGACATGGTAATCTGGATTAGTTTACATCTGAGCGAGACTCTAATTTGTTTATAAATGACTAATAAGATCAACTAATGAATGGTGAAACTCTATTATCCTGATATTCCTGAACAGAGTCCTAATTCGATAGCTTGGTTCAGTTTATACATTAAAATAGATGTTTCAAGTTTTCAATGTGTTATTAACCAGTAAAGATCTGATATCAAGAAGTATTTAACTCACAAAATAGCTAGAAACTTTGTAATACCCAACCAATTATATTATTTATCCCAAAAACTAACTGTCAATTTTTGACTGGACTATAAATCATCAATACACAATAATTCCTAATTTCACATCTGAATAAGTAATCTTTAATTAAAACAGTATAATTAAATGTACATGATCAAAGATGAATAGTGGAATACAGGACGCACACTTCGTCCTATTTGGGACTCATCATCTAGATGTACCTTCATCTCAGAGTCAATTTTCACTCTGGGACTCGAACCCAATACCGTTTGCTTCAAACACCATCGCGTTACCCACGTAGCT